TTAGTTTCTGGATCAGAACCCGGGCCTCGCTTCGAACCATCAGGTTTCGTTTTAACAGACCTGAACGTCGTGTTAAACGCCTGAAACTTGAATTAAATCAAAAGTGGTAAAAATGTGTCACTTTAATTTAGAGTTTTCTGAGAATGTCCAGGTGAAAATCAAAACTCTGATCCGACTCTCCAACACGGACGACTGGACGGAACGTTTTAAAAACTGAACGGCTCGGAGAGACGTTTGGGGCGGCGGCGCTAAGCTGACCCCGCCCACATCGCTGCGGCGCTCAACCTACACAGAAAAGCACCGACGAGTCGACGCAGGTAGAGCTCAAGTCACTGCGGGGAAATTAAAACCATCCTCTGTTGAGCCGTTCACCGGCACCAGAACCAAGCCGGACAGTAAAGCCCGGTTCTGTTGTTAAAAACTTACACGATGCCCGACCCACATTTGTCGCAGACCGGCAGCTTCTCCGTGTTTCCGACCGACGATCCGATCTTGGTCGTGGGAGCTTTCACGCTCCTGAAGCCCGACGGCTTCTCCGGGTCGCCTGCGAACAGAAAACAGTTCTAAAAGATCCAGAACCACGAGGCCGGGGTAAGAGGTGCGAGCCGGTCCTGGTACCTGTCTCCAGAATCTCCTGGAGCACCTTGAAGGAGGCGGACTGTCGCGGCGGCTCGTCGGACTCCTGGTTCTCCTGCAGCATCTTGTAGACCTCAGAGTCGGCGGCGATCGGGGGGCGTTTTGGTGCCGCCGAAGGATCTGACGGGGTTCTGCAAATGTCAGAACACGTTACGGATCAGAACCAGACGGAACGTTCCTCAACAGAGACGGAAACATCTTCAACAAATTCAGACGCGAAGCTCAAAAAGAAAAAGTGAAGCGGCCGAACAAGAAGCAAATTATTTTACTTATTTAACTGGTTTTATTTATTTTGTTGAACTGATTTATTTTATTTATTTAATTGCATTTATTTGTTTGTTTAATTAATTGTATTTATTTATTTTGTTTAATTTAATTATTTATATAATTAATTTTTAATAATTAACTATTAAATTAATACATTTTCTTCATTTAATCTATTTTAATAGTTTATTTAATTTAAGTCTCACTTCGTGAAGCAAACAAACAAAGAATGAAAGGATTTTATAATAAATAAATAAATAAATAAATAAATCCGTCCATCATCCAGTTCTGGACTTGGGTCTCGGGGGCAGCATCTTGAGCAGGGAGGTCCAGACCAGACGTGGTCTCTGCAGCGTGTCCTGGTCTTCCCCGGGGTCTCCTCCCAGTCGGACATGTCCAGACCACGTCAGCTGGTTCCTCTGGATGTGGAGGAGCTCAGTTCCAGAGCCCGTGCTGCGTCCAGGTGAGCCCAACTACATCTAGTCAGTACCTCGCCACCTCAGGCTCCGCCCCCACCAGAGATGTCCATGTCCCAACGTCCAGATTTGGTAAGTCAGGGTCAGAGCGCCGCTGCCCATGGAGTCATGCACCCGACTCGTATGGCCCCTCCTGCAGGTGGGGGGTCCACAGGACCGGGTCCCACGGGTAGAGGCCGGATCGTCAGGCGCTCGTGACCGAGCAGCACCAGGACTTTTACATCTAAAGTCTAAAACATCACAATAATTAAACATTTATCACATTACACTAATTAAATTTATAATTTCATCTTTGGGTTTTAATTTAATCCTATTTTTTACTTTAATCTATTTTATCGATTTGTTTTATCTTCATTTTCATCTGAAATTTTTATTTTATCTTCTCTTTTAATTATTTGACTTCTTTAATTTATTCCTCTTTATTTTCATCTTCGTTTATCCATTTTTATTATTTTATTTATTTTAAACCATAAATTTTCTTTTTAATTCTTTGACATATTTTTATTTATTTATTTTATTCATCGTGGCTTTTTTAAACTTTATCCTTTTGTTGTTTATTCAATAATTAATTCTTTCTCACCACTTTTTAAAATTTTATCCGTTTGTTTCCTTTTTATTTATTTGATTTACTTAATTGTTTTTTATTTTCTCAACCATATTTGATGTATTCTTGATTTATTTTTATTTTTTGTGAGTTTAGGTTTGGTTGCTCTAATTTTATTTAAGTGTAAAAATGAATAAAAACTTTTCATTTAAATTGAAATAATTAAAGGATCGTCTGATTTTCCAGTGAATATTTTGGTTCCGCTGCAGATTCCCAGTTCTCTCCTGATGCTCCTCTCAGCTGATGCCTTTGACCCGATCAGAACCCTCCGAGCTCAGTCGGACCTCTCAGGGTTCTGGACACAGGGTCGTTCTTCAGAGGTTCTGTGCCTGAAGCCCGTCGGACTCGGGCGAAGCAGAACTCACTTGTCGTTGGAGTCGCCGGCTGCAGCTCCGGTCTTGACTTCGTCCACGGCAGAGTTGAAGTTCTGGATGTTCTGCGAGGAGTAAAGACCCGACGGGTCGTTGTACTGGTTCGTCACGACTTTGGGCCCAAACCCGGCGAACGGCAGGGCGCTCCTGTTGTGGGAGGAGCCGATGCTTTTCACTTCCTGGGAAAACAAAAAGGTGAAAGTTCTGAGACAAAACCACTAAGTGGTCCAGAACCCAGAGGGGCGGAGCTAAAACGAAGCAGCGGGTGATCACAGGTGGCGGTTCTGGCAGAGCTGCGTACTAAAGATAACCTGGAGCAGAAAAGCCTCCAACAGAACAACTGACAGTCTGGTTCTGGGTCAGAACCGACGTCAGGACACATCGAGGACCAGAACCCACCACGACCCAGAGTCTCGCTAACGGACTGGACCTAGGTTCTGCAGGATGTCGCCAACATGGACGGTTCTGAATCGACAGCAGAGTTCTGTTTACGCCGGAGCCTCTTCCAGTGCAGGACTGGACTTTTGGATCGGGAGCAACTAAAACTAGAAACAAACTCAAGTACGGATCCGTCACGCGAGTGTCGGTCCGGTCCAACACCAACGTTGGAACCAGATGTTGCTGGAGGTTCCCGGTCCTCCTGGACACGATGAGTTTTGGGAGTCAGACCCATGCAGACCTGTATCTCTTCTCCCTCGTGTGTAAAAAGTTTATGAAAAACCGGTGAATAAGCAGTTAACACATTATTTGAAGGTTTTAATGTTTTGTCCAGGACCCAATCGGGCTTTTGTTCAGGGCATGGTTCCATTACAGCCACTCTGAAAGTTCTCAACAGAACATCTGTATGGACTCCTGACAGAACTGTGCAGCAAAGTTCATTGATTTAGCAAAAGCTTTGGACTCAGCTGATCGTTCCATCTTACTGAAGCAACTTGACCGTATTAGAATTCAGGACAGCCACTAACACGGTTCCATAATTATCTTTCAAATAGTTCAGAGCAAGTGAAGGTTGACTTTCATACTTCATTTTCTTCCAGTTATGTCAGGTGTACCCCAAGGCTACATTCTTGGTCCCACTCTTTTTCCATATTTATAAATAATATCTTGCGTTCCGTTAGTGAGGCCTCCATCCATTTATATGCTGATGACACTATTCAGAATCAGAATTATTATCGTCGCACCGAGATACAGCGAGAACACGTACGTACAGCCGTCCGAAAGATGGACGGAGTGCACGAAGCTGCTGCTATAAAGCGCGGCCTTCTTACTCAGAATACTTTTTTTTGTTTCTATATGGTTTAGGTTCTACTCCAGATGAGGTTATCTTGAAAATCCAGCAGCTCTTTTCTGACTTAAAATTGTCCTTAATGCCAAGAAAACTAAAATTATGAGGTTCAGTCACGGAGGAGGAACCGTACCGAACTCGGTGGACTTCACCACTGTGAACAGTGACGTTACAGAAGAGGTAACAGTTTATAAATATCTGGGAATTTGGATTGATGGAGCTCTGTCCTTTTCACATCAGGTTACTGTTTTACAATCTAAGGTTAAAGCGAGATTTGGTTATCTACCGTATTTTTTTGCTGTATAAGTCGCAGCTTTTTGCATAAATTTGCATGCCCAACGACTTATACAGCAAAGCGACTTATTTATGTTTTTTCCCATATTTATAATCACTTTTTGGCTGAGAAATGACAATTCAATTCATTCTGACATGGAAAATATCGAATACTACCATTTTCAGCCACTAGAGGGCGCTTGAATCATACGGCAAGCCAAGTTTCTTATTAATAGTTAAAAGTGGCTATTAATGAGACACTTGGCTTGCCGTACAGAGCCACCTTCGTCTCGCTCCAGAACTCCTGGAGCAAACGTCAACTCCGCTGCGTTTCACCGCGTCACCCAGGTGAAACGCAGCGGAGTTGACCGTCAAAGTGCGTTTATTAAGGAAAAGTTCAACTGAGACACATTTACTGTAATGAGAAGAATCTGTTCTTGGTGTTCATGCTGCTTAAATACAGGTGAAAGGAATGAACGCAGCAGAACACTGTACGCTGCGTGGTGCCGATCGATCCTCGTCTTCACAGATGAAACGAGACCCGACCGTCCAGACGGAGGTCGCTCTGACAAACATCAGCATTCTGATTCAGAACCACAGAAGACGAGGACCTGGGTCGGACTGGAGAAATAAACACGTCACTCTTTCCTGCAGCGTGACCGTAGCTTTAGTTGCAGCCAGTCAGTATTTTGCTAACAGACACACACAAACGCAGCGCATGCATCAGTGGAAAACACACACACGTTTCGAGCATCTGGCACCTGAAGGACAGAATTACAGCCGGACCTGCGCCGACACGAGAGCCCGACGTGAAGGAACTCGTGACGGCGCCTGAAGCTGCAGAAACGTTCGGAACGGAGTTCCTACAAATGCTTGAAACGTGTTTTTAATGTGAGGAACGATGCGACACACAAACACACACGGGGCCCCGGGGCCCCACCAGTCTGATGTTTCCACGATGCGACACACAAACACACACGGGGCCCCACCGGTCTGATGTTTCCACGATGCGACACTCAAACACACACGGGGCCCCGGGGCCCCACCGGTCTGATGTTTCCACGATGCAACACTCAAACACACACGGGGCCCCGGGGCCCCACCGGCCTGATGTTTCCACGATGCAACACTCAAACACACACGGGGCCCCGGGGCCCCACCGGCCTGAAGTTTCCACTGACGGAGCAGGATGTGAGGCTCACGGCTGCCAAAGGCCAGGAAACTACCGTCTCCTAGGCAACGCCCTGTTGGGAAGCAAACAATGACATCACTGCTGGCAGCCGCCACCGGCACACAGAGATCCAGTTTTAGAGCTCCGGCGCCGCGCTCCAAACGACAGAACCGGATTTTAAAAAACAACCGGGTCCGGTTCTTGTGGGAAAACTCACCCGAGGCTCGGACGCCAGGTTCATCTTGTACGGGTGAGACTTTCCTTCCTCGGACGAAAGCGGCGACCACAGTTTGGATTCTGACCTGAGGAGCGAACGACACGAAACAAAAGATGGGTTTAAATATGACTATCTGTGTGTCTGTTAGCAAAATATCTCATAAACCACTGGACCAATGTTAATGAAGCCTGCACAGAGTAATCAATCGATGTAAATCTATAACTGATTAAGTTTTGGTGCCAGCCTGATTAAAGATGGCCACCACAGACACGACTAAAACTTGTCAGTTTTATAGAAGTTGAGCTAAGTTTGGTCTGGTAGTAGCTGAGAGTCATCCACAACGCCCACTCTGAAGGCTACACATCCCAAAAGATCTCAATTTGAAACTTTGGCTTTAACTGCTGGAGTCAACCCTGTTCCTCTGTTAGCAAAATATCTCATGACCGACTGATTAGATTTTAAAGAAACTTTCAGGAAGTGCTTATTTGATGTTCATCCTTTGAAGTCAGGTCAAATCAAGATGGCCGCCAAAGCCAACTAATCATATCGTCCGCATTCCATCTGCACAGGTGGAGGACTGATGTCTTGACACAGAACCAGCTGACGGACCCGCCCCCCATGAGCAAACAGACATGACTGGACCTGGATCAGGTTCCAGGTGGTTCGTCAGCCCAGTGGCGATGCGGTTCGGACCCACCTGTCTACGGAGAGAACCATTTCCTCCACGCAGCTCTTGATCTTGTTCTGCGCCTCCAGGTGAGTCATGTTCTCCGTGGCGTCTCCGTTGATGGACAGGATGATGTCACCGGTGCAGAGGTTGGCCTGCGCCGCTTTACTGCCGGGGTTCACCTACGACACCGGACCAACAGAAACATTCACCCCGATCTCGAACGGTGCGGCTGAACAGTTCTGAAAGGCAGGTCCACGTAAACATCTGGATCTGCTGAAAGCCACGAGACGCTCGAGTGACCAGCCTACGTCAGTCTGTGGAGGTCAACAAACATGGCCGAACGTTTGACCCGTTTTCAGTCACTTCGGCTGTTTCAGCAGGTAAACGAACACCTGTGGTCGCTCTCAAAGTTGTTTTTGTTTCGCACTTTACGCAGGTTTTATGGTCTGGTCTTCAGGACTTTGTGAAGCGTCACCAGGTTTTTATTAAAAACAGTAAAAAATAAGCTCTAATCGTGGATCAAACTCCGTCGTTATCGGGACAAGCTGAAGTGAAACACGACCTTTGGTTACAGCCACAAAGCCTCGGCTCCCGACGTTAAATCAACAAACACGGTTTTAATGTTTACAGGGAAACAGAAGCAGGAGTTTCCAGCTGGAGGCTCAGAAGGGCGACGTCAAGATAAGAGCTGAAAGAAGTCCAGAGGCTCCTCGGCTCATTTCCACGGGTGGAGCAGACCGACAGCAGAACCACAGTCTGATGACAGGAAGGTGCAAAACTCAGCAGCTTGTGGACCAAAATGTGGTAAAAATAAAATCTATAAATATGTAGTTTTGGCTTTTTCCAATAAAAAAAAAAAATCAAACTAAAAGAGGTGAAGTTTCAGCTACAAACCTGGTCTGAACAGCTGTTTATAAACTGTAAACAGGAAGTATGGGGCGGGGCTTCACTTTGAGGGCGGAGCTTTTAATCTCAATACTAATCAGCTGTAACACAAATTCTTTACGAGTGATGTCATCGAGGAAAAAACAGCCGAAACTTTAGCGGGCAAAAATAACAGAGCATGAGGTGGTAAAAACAACAACCAGGAGTCAGTTTGAAGCTGATTTAGCTTTAAGCTACAATTTGTCACCTTTAGCTAATGTTTTGCATTTTACTAACACTGTTGCTAACTTTTGCTGAGCTAGCATTATGCTACATAAAGCTTAGTTACCATTTTGCTTGTTTTAGGCTGCCACATTTTGCTTTCAGCAAGGCTTTTGCTACTTTTATTTACCCTTTTTGCCATCTTTAACTTCTAGTTAGCATTTTGCTCCTTTTAGCAACCACATTTAGCTTGTACTTAGACCTTTGCAACATTCAGTTAGCATCTTTGGCTTAAACTAGCCTTTTGCTAATTTTAGCTTCTAGCTACTATTTTGCTACTTTTAGCTATTATTTAGCTCTTTTTAGTTACTCTTTGAGGTACAGTTTTTTGCTACTTTTAGCTGCTGTTTTATTTCTTTTAGTTACCCGTCGGTTGCTTTCAGCTTATAACTAGCCTTTAGCTCCTTCTAGCCCGGGTGCTCTCCTTTAAGCTTTTAGCTAGTGTTCTACTTTTAGCACCTCACTTTCAGCTTCAGCATCGTTCCGTCAGTAAAAGTTTCTCTAGTTCCACAGAACAAGGTTGAATCGGGTCACGTGGACAGATTTTCTTTTGGGGAGAAACGTTTCGGCTTCATCCAAAGACTTCAGTCTGAGGCCTGCCAACCACATCTGGCTTATTAATAGCGCCTCCTCGATGATTGAGTTTTCAAACCCGTTTCTCTAGTTTGTGTTTCCTTCCGTCTCTTTAAATTAAAAGTACAAATCAATAGACAAAAAGCAGCTAAAACAACAAACTTCTTAGTAGCTTAAATTATCCAAAGTTCCCTGCAGGAAAAACAGATTCTTCGGGTTGATTAGATTAGATCTGTTACATTCATCAACTAAACCCGTTTACAATCAGGGACAGTGAGTTTTATGATGTGAACTTCAACGGGATCAGGACTTTTAGTTTCGGAAGAGAAGAATTCTTATTTTCTGTTCAGTTTGTAGCTCCACCGTGTTTGCACAGGTTGGTCCCTCAAAATGGCCGCGCCTGTCTGCAGACGGATCATTGTTGTTTTCTTTGGGACAAACTTAAAGAAAACAAACAAACAAACACGTTGATCCAAACAATTAGTCATAAATATGCTTTGTCTGCTGTGTGCTGAACCCGAGTGGACGCCGGTTTACCGACTATTTAACGGAACACCGAACAGGACCGACGCTCGAGCTCCCGTTAAACTATCTCTGACGTCATTAGCCACGAAGCTACAGGTAAACGAGTCCGCGTGACGTTAACATGAAGTAAACATGAAGTAAACATGTAGCAGCCGGGTGTAAAAATCAACTTACCCGGGAAATGGCCAGCGGCTGGTCGAAGTCTTTGCCCCCGACCAGCCGGAACCCCCAGGGTCCGGGACCCTCCATCTCCACCCGGAGAGGCATCACGTCCACCGTCCGTTAAGACCCGCAAAGTTTCTGCTGTCTGGTTCTGGTCCTGCCGCACGTGACAGTTCTGAGTTCGACTGACCCAGGTTCGGCAGCCGGGGGTGGACTTCCGATTCCAGACTGACGAATCGATTCTGTGCGTCCTCACTTTGGACAAAGATCGTGTGTCTAACAAGAGGATCCACTCCGCTCTAACTGTCAGCGCAACGAGCGCTGCTTCTGGTCACGTGATACCAGACGTCGATCCTATTGGTTAAAGACGAGGAAGCTGAAAATTCAGCTCAGGGAAAGAAACATACACAGACACATGGTGCATTTCTATTTTCACTTGTACTTTTTATTTTACAGATTTCATGGTTAATTTTTGTTTTACTACTTAGTATTCTATTTTACTTGTTTACGCCATGTATTTCTATTTTAATATTTCTATTTTACTCATTACATTGTGTACATTTTGTTTTAATTTGACTAGTTTCTCTGTAAATAATGTGATCACGACACTTTCTCATTAATTGCATTATTGAACATGCCCCTTGTAGTTTTAGTACAATAAGTTATATTGTGAAAACACTCGAATGTTCTCGTTTTTCTTGTGCTTGTTATATAAAATTAAACTACCAGCTCCATTAAAACATTAATCAAACCAAAGGATGGACCATCTAACCCACAGTTGCTTTTGGTCTTTTAGTTTGGCAGCATGTGCAAACGATAAGTTAGAAAAATTATTATGTTAAAGGGTAACGCTGCAACAGAAATGCTTCTGTAAAGTTTTTGTGGTGGTGGAAGGTTTTTGAAGTGAGAGCGGAGCGGGCCCTCTCCACGTCTCGGCCTGGATGCCTTTACGTCATCCTGTTCTGTGAGCTTACCATTTATGGTAGAGCTGAATCCCAGGATGTGGAATGTGACTCTCCCAAAACCTGAATTCCTGCCAGGAGCTCTGCTGATAGAGGAAAATGCCTGAGCAACACGCCCTCTCTTGTTGGCCTCTCACCCTCCCCCCCACTTTGTACCGTTTGGTTCGTTAAGACCAGTAAACAGCTGCTGAAGGTGGAAACATCTGTCACAGCCAACACCTTTACAGGAGAAGAGGAGCACAAAAAAACTATTTTACCTACAAACACTCCTGTGGTTCCACCCAAATTCACCTAGAAGAGCCAAGTGAAGGTTCTGTGACAAAGTTATGAACAATTAATATCTTACCTGTTGTAGATGGCTCTTTGAATGCACTTAATTTAGAGTTTCTGATGAGCTAATGGCTAGTCTAGTGTAAGGGTTACATTAAAAGTGTTTGCTTGAACCACTATGATTTTTTTAAAATTTGTTGTAAGACATCAACATCCACTTTGGGTCCAGTTGGAGAACCAAAGAGATCAAACGGTCCGAGTGGACCAGAATAAAATGTACCGTAAAACTCTTGATATTCAGTTTCAGAGCGCTTCATGCAAACAGGTCTTTAAAATCTCCACACCAGTAATTTGAATTGTGTGGATATTTGCCAGCTCAACAGGCAGCAGAAGCAGCTAGCTGTAGCACTTCTGGTGACACCTTGTTTTATTTATAAAAGACTGTTTTTGTTTTAAAAGAGCAGAATCTGTTTTGGCTCCGTTAGTTCGTCAAAATTCAGCGGTTTCTCCAAACTGAGCTTGTTGAGCAGCAGAGGGAGAACGTGTGGTCTCCACCTGCAAGGCGACAAGAGCTCCCTAATAAAGAACACTCAACCAACCGATTGAAACGTTCCCACTAAATGTCCCAGTAACAACCCACAGCCCAGTTTCAGCCTCCTGGAATCCACGGCTGCAGGAAAACAAGTCGCACCCAGAAAATCACCTTCACCACCAGAGACTCTGCTGAAATCTGCCCAGCACTTTGCTGGAGACGACAGGAACGTGGAGGAAAACATCGACGTGTTCGACTGGAGACAAACTGTCACTCCACAAAAACGTTGCTGCTGGAAAACCTGCCAGTCCAAACTGGGAGGGGAATTTTACAGGAGTGGAAAACAGTGCTGGTTGGAAACTATTCTTTTTAGTCAGCTGGGCTAGAAGTCCATCCATCCAATTATCTATCCATCCAATTAACTGTCCATCCATCCAATTAACTGTCCATCCATCCATTTATCGATCCATCCATCCATCCAATTATCTATCCATCCAATTAACTGTCCATCCATCCAATTAACTGTCCATCCATCCATTTATCGATCCATCCATCCATCCAATTATCTATCCATCCATCCATTTATCTGTCCATCCATCCATCCAATTAACTGTCCATCCATCCAATTA